AGGGTTTAGGGTTTAGGGTTTAGGGTTTAGGGTTTAGGGTTTAGGGTTTAGGGTTTCGGGTTTGGGGCCAAAGTTTAGGGTTTAGGGTTTCGGTTCGACAAGGTATACTGTACCTGAAAGGGGCAATGGGACGAGGGTGTTCACTGCCGCAGGACAACTGAACTCCTGCGCATCCAGGACCTGATAACAGCAAGTGTCATTGTATGATGTTGTACTAAGTTCGCAATTCATGATTTTATATTGAAACTGCACCTTGTTATGGGTCAGTGGCCCTGAGGATGGGGTAGCATAGGATCCTACCGTCAACAGAAGCCGAGTCGGCAGCCGGAGAGCTCGGCCCAGCGAACTACGCTCTGTGCTTTCGTCGACGCTCGGCTCGCCTGGCTGGGTTTAGGGCTTAGGGTTGAGGGTTTAGGGTTTAGGGTTAGGGTTTAGGGTTTAGGGTTTAGGGTTTAGGGTTTAGGGTTTAGGGTTTAGGGTTTAGGGTTTAGGGTTTAGGGTTTAGGGTTTAGGGTTTAGGGTTTAGGGTTAGGGTTTAGGGCTTAGGGTTTGACTAGGGTTTGGGTCCAAGCCATGGAACCAAAAACCCTGAAGTGCGGTGGGATTTGGGGTGCAGAGGTTTTACAAGGTTGAAGATTTCCCGCAACCCTCGACCTCCCAGCCACCAGCCTAGCCCGCGTTGTGTACGATGGCGGAAGCACCAAATCCGAAGTTCAAGCCCGACCTCTACTACGGAATTTCGGCCTGTGACTATTCGTACAAGATTTGCATGCCTGAGGCCTGAAACCGAAACCCAAAAGTCCCAAAACCCAAATCCACAATCGCCCGCGGCCTAGGGGAAGATCTCGAGGCTTTCGCGTTAAGTCCTCGACTTGCCACAGAGGCGGGAACAACGGTGATCCCACAGCCGCACAAAGGGCAGCAGAAGCAAAGCAATGCCTAACACTTAGACCCTGGCACTCGTGATACACCCTTCGCTTCGCCCACACTCCCATGAAGGTGGACCCACACAGTTGCACAGCTCTCTGAACAAATGTCTGAAAAAGCTGTCCAAGGGTGCTGCTTTATGGACCAAACTCGAACAATATGGGGATTCCGAAAATAGGGGTAGCCTTTTTGGGGGGGTCCCTGTATATAAGGGGGTTCTATTCTATTTGGGGGATAAAAAGGGTTCCACTGGTAGGGTAATACCCATCCCAAAATTCACATAATCTGACCCGTTACAGCTCTTCCCAGCCCCGCGACACATTCCAGCTGGTCTGTAAGAAGAGGTCCAGTTGTGGCATTTTGTAGCTCTTCGAACGCTTTTAGCCTCAATGTAGCAGCGTCCTGCAGACAGATCGCCGGCCTGAGTTTATCACTTGTCAAAGGAATGTTCCAGGTAGCGTACAAGGGGTGACAGGGGGAGTGGATACCCCTAACCCCTAAGCCCTAACCCTAAACCCGATAAGCCTAAACCCTAAACACCAAACCCTACACCCTAACCCTAGACCCTAAACCCTAAACTCGAAACCCAAGGGCTTGCACTTAGTGCGCGCGCGCTGCAGCTCCTCCCGAGAATCGCCTGCAACTCCCTGCGATGGCAGCGGGCCATTGCTTTGCACCTGCGCAACCCGGGTTTAGGGTTTAGGGTTTAGGGTTTAGGAATTAGGGTTTAGGGTCTGGGGTTTAGGGTTTAAGGTTCTGGGGGTTTCCGAAAGAGGGGGACCCTTTTTGGGGGTCCCTTTTCAGGGGGTCCCTTTCCAGGGGTCCCTTTTAAGGGGGTCCCTTTTAGGGTCCCTTTCAAGGGGTTTCTATAAAATGGTACACCTAATGTCAGAATTACCCAAGTGAGCCATGGCCCACCTAGATTTCAAATAGTACTGGCCTGCAATATATACCCTTTAGGCACTGTAGCTTGCTACTATCACTTCATGGGAGACTTGGCGCGTGTGACGACCGCATCTCAATCTACGCCCTAAACCCTAAACCCAAAACCTAAAACATAAACCCTAAACCCTAAACCCTAAACCCCCTAAACCCTAAACCCTCAGCCGTGGCCTCTGTGAGGATACCCAGGAGCCGCTGCTGCATCGCACACGGGCCTTAACCTCTGTCTGCCCCTTGGACGCTTCATCGTAAACGTCTGAACCCGAAATCGGATGTCTCAGTCATCATTGATCTGACTCCCTCTATTCTGACACAGTGTCGAAGCCGAGAAATCTGCAATGGCTTTCCGAAGTTCACTGGCCTGCTGGTAAAACTTGGTACGTTCGAAATTAGTTTCTTCTAGCATCCTCTGCAGAGCGAGTCTGTGTCTAGATCTGAGCTGGAGCAGCGGAGCAAAGAAGTGGCGACACCGAAAAGGAACTGCTGCAGGCCAGACTGCAAGCACGCAAGAGATGCCTGAGTCATGGTTCGAACATGACAAGAAACTGACTCCAAAGATAGTGCTCCTTCACTGCGCGGAATGCTTGCCGGACTTGCTCGCACCGTTGTTATGTCCTTGCTCTGTGGCATGGCTGTGCAAAGGCAGAGTTGCCCGGCAGGGTGGAGATGGAGGTGATACATCCAAATGTCGCACCGATGGTGGTGAAGGAATGATGGTCGAAGCTGGTGCAAACACACTAGTGTTCAGCACAGGGCTGCCGATGATCCCGAGAAGCGGGAGGAACGCAAGCCATCACTGGTCAGGGCGCCGGGTACAACCAAGAAACAAGAAAGGACTGACATGTCTGACATCTGTGAGAGGCATATACGTCGTCAAGGGGACACGGACGCCCCTGTGACATGTCCTTAAGCTCTCATTCCTCAGCATGTCCAAGCCAAGTCGCTTCAAGTTGACCGGGCAGCTGCCACAGCGGTGGCTCTCAGGCTTTCGCCTTTTCGTCCGCATATTCTTGATGCTTGGACCTGTAACGCCGAAGACTCATCATGCAACGCAGCTTACCAGTGACCGCCAACAAAGATCAACATCCAACAATGCCACAGGACTCTGCACAGCATCATCGCTGACAACCCTTCGCCAACCGCCACGGAAACATGCCGTTGGAAGACAGGGCATCTCAGAAACTATCTTCAGCGTCATCAGAGGTGCAGAAGATGCAGCTCTGACCTTTTACTTATCGTCCATCATGCGGCCCGGTTGATTGAGACGGCCGTGGTTGAAGCAATGAAGCCTTCTGCGGGAGGTACAATTTTTTCGTGGGGCCAGCAACTTAAAATTTTCGCCTGCAATATGCGTTTTGTAGTCTTTAGGATGTCTTATACACCACAAGATCTGAAGTCGTCGGAGTAGAGTACAGGGCTGTGAAGGCCAGAAGCGAAAGTTCCGCGCGGAGCTGTGCCTCTCTCGGAGGTTGCTGTTCGGAGCTGTTGCGGTACGAGATCTGCATGTTGTCATGGAGCATTCAAGATTCGGAGCTTTCGGAGCTTCCACAAGAAAGAAGCTTCTGCAAACATCCGCACACCCTTCCGTATGCTTCCGGTGCGCACAGGGCCGCGCTCATCTCAGTTCCGGACCGCCGGTGCAACAGCATTATACTTCGTGCTCGAGAATGTCTCAATGGTTCCTACACAAAACAGCTCTCAGGCTTTCGCCTTAATGTCCGCATAGCATATTCTTGATGCTTGGACCTGTAACGCCGAAGACTCATCATGCGATGCAGCTTACCAGTGACCGCCAACAAAGATTTAACGTCCAACAATGCCACAGGAGTCCGCACTGCATTATCTCTTATTCCAACCTTCGCAAACCTCCACGGAACCATGTGGTAGGAAGACAGGGCATCTCAGAAATTATCTTCAGCGTCTTCAGAGGTGCAGAAGGTGCAGCTCTGACCTTTTACTTCTCATCCATCATGCGGCCCGGCTGATTCATGAGCGACGGCCACAGTTTGGGGCATTCTGCATCAGTCGGCTCACCCTTCTGCGATAGGTTTTGCTAATGTTTGCAGGGCCCCCGACAGGGATTTCAAGTTGGGCTCTCAGCCTTTCGCCTTTTTGTGTCGGCACCGATGTAACCTCGGACCTGTAACGCTCCAGGATCATCATGCAGCCACGCAGAGAGCCAACTCAAGCCACCCACGTTACCACAAACATGCAAGCAATGTGCCACTGGCAAGCAAAAGGTTGCATAGGCAACGAGATAGGTGTTGAAGCCACATTCAGAGGACCGGGTGCCGTGTCTCAAACGACCGCCAGCACAGCAATCGCAGATGGATGTGGTTGCTGCGTCCACGGTCGCGCCCCATCCAATGCCAGATGCCAAACAACTAGGAAGCAAAGCTGAAGATGAATGACCTCCGCTTTAAACACCCCTAAGCCTCCGAAATCCCCCACCTAGAGACCTCTAACCTCCTGAATGCTGCCAAATCCCCCTAAACCCTAAACCCTAAACCCTAAACCCTAAACCCTAAACCCTAAACCCTAAACCCTAAACCCTAAACCCTAAACCCTAAACCCTAAACCCTAAACCCTAAACCCTAAACCCTGAGCTGAGTGGAGCCCCACCCATGACCCACCTGTGTCGGGGGCGTCTTCTTCGAGCCGACCCAGCCCACAGGCGGACGGGGAACAGTGGCCTTGGGCTTAGGGTTTAGGGTTTAGGGTTGAGGGTTTAGGGCTTAGGGCTTAGGGTTTAGGCCTCGGTCAGGTCTCTTCGACGTTACGGGCTTGCATACTGCAGTTGTACACTCACTGTGGGAATGAAAACTTGTCAAAGTAGTTTTAACTGCAGAATAGCAATGGTAATAGTAGTGGTACTGGTTATGACCATGGTATATGACATGATCTGGTATGGGCACTGCATAATCTAGTCGCCTGTAGCATAGCAAGATCTTGTACTCTATACTCTATATTATTGTACAATACAAGTTTCAGGGTTCAGGGGTGCAGAGGGACCTTTTGCACTCTGCCATGCACCTCTTCCCGAGACCCCCTCGGTCGGGCAGAAATCCCAGTTTCAGACCAGCGCCGGTCTACTCCCCCAAAAAAAACAAACGAGACGAGGGTTGACTGCCTCACACCAAGTGGACCTCGTCCTCCTCGACCATCAGCTTGTTCATGCCCTCCAGCCGTTTGAGCTGCGCCTCGAAAGCATCTTGGGTGAAGTCTTCGCTCTTGACCAACTCGAAGAGCTGCTGCTTTGGGATCGGAGACCCCAGGGCAGCAAAGCAGCGGGCCACACCTCGACAGAAAGTCTTGAGGGAAGGCATGGGAAGGGCCGGTGGAACCGGTGAAACCGGTGGAACCGGTTGAGCCGGTGGAACTGCTTCCTCTTCCAGCCTGGGTTTCTTGGCGGGCGGCTCAGCTAGAGCCACAGGGCACTTCTCCTCCTTGATGGGCGTCAAGCTGGGATGTCGCGCCAGGCGCCTAGCCGGCGTCTGCGGCAGCTCATCATTGCCCGGGAAACTGTCTAGTAACTTCTTGACCAGCAGCCGCCCTTCCTCAGTCAGAGAGAGAACTTCCAGTCGATCCCGAAGCTTGCGGGCTTTGAGCGTGGACTTCTGGACCAGATTGTGCTTGAGCAGGGAGCGGTGCGCATCCCACCCGAGGCCCAACTGACGACCTGCAAAGAGTCCGACATCCATATGCTGAGAGCACCATTGCTTGGCCAGCTGGCAGATCTTGCTGACCGGCAGCTGTGGGAGACCCTTTTCGTGGGCATCCCATAAGGCCCGGAGGATGGCGTAGCCACCGCCTCGGTACTCCATGTTGTCCAGGAATCCTCCAGTCTCGTCTTCCTGCTGAATGCTGCACCCATCCACCGCATTCTCTGAATCGAGCGCCATCATGGGCGACAGTTTAGGGGGAATGGCTACAGTGTCCTCCACTCTCAAAGGGATTTGCTTGTTCAGAAGCAGTTGACCATGAAGGCAGTTAGAGTCAGCTACAGCGAGTGTCATGAGGATGCTTGTGCTTCTTACATAGCCGTCCCATGAACGAAAGTGCTCGCCCTCTTTCATCAGATGATCAGCCAAAGAGGGAGTGAGACGCACATTGGCACACAACCGCATGCGTCCCTGGCTCTCCGCCACTTCTAAGCATTGCAAGACGAACCCGTGACACAAGTCTTATCGAAAGCTTGTGTTGCGTTCCGCTGGGTGCGCGTAGCTTTACCTCAAGACCTGCACAGGAGGACAAGTACAGCAGACAGATACTTGTGTGCACGCGTGAGTAATTGTGAGTACACGAGGCTACTGTAAAGACTCCCAGTCTTAGGCTTTAATGCAGAACCTGCGGCCAGGTCACAGCGCTGAAAGGAATGCCCCCCGCCTTGGCAGTGGCCAAGGATACGGTAAACAGGTGCCAACTGTAAGGCAACTTCTGCAAGGCTAGGGGATTGGGGAACCAGGGGCACAGCCCAACAGCACGTAGCACGTGCCCGAAACATGCTTTCACTTTCTGTTCCCCACCCCCCCCCGGTCAAGGCCAAAAGTGAAAGTGAAAGATGTGCCGGATCCGACGTACCCCACCCCCCTATCTTCACTTACCAGGCATGGGGGATGGGCACAAGCATCCATGCACAAATTCGCTGTTCTGGCTTGCAGATAATGCGGGTGTAGGGTTTAGGCCCTAAGTCTGGGCCTAAGTTTCGGGTTCTCAAAATGAGGGGACGCTTTTTTGTTCCGGGTTGGGGGGGGGGGGGGGGGGAGGATTGTAGTTTTGGATTGCGTGTTCGGTGACCCCCCCCCCCCCCAACCCGACCCCCCGGCAACCCCACCCTCAAAAGCTGGATGCTGTAACCATCAAATGGCCTTTGTGGGACCGCGTGTTGAGGGTTGGGGTACACCAAACTACTCTTCTCATAGAGGCACAAGAGAAACTTCTGAGGTCAGGGCAGTGTTTTGCAGAGATGGCACTCCCAAGTCCTCCCCAACGGTTCAAACTCATTGTTTTTAAGGCTCAAGGAGCTCAGCAATCAATGGCTCTTTCCCACGGTGACCCCTAAGCACCCTATCTACACCCTGAACCCCAAGCTGAGTACCGGAAGCGTGCCTTGAGCCTGGCGTCGCGCAGCGCGTCGCGTGCCTCCACAGCCAAGAGTGGATAATCTCCAAGAAAATAGGGATATTTCTCTAGGAGGTTTACGTGGGGGTGTCCGGAAATAGGGGTACCCTTGTTTGGGGTTATTACATGTTTTGGGTATGTCAAGGTTTCCCCCCATTTTCGTAAATTCTCGCTGACAATTCGCAGGGCTACGAACTGCTGCTATCAGTCAACTTGGCTATTAGCCTCAAGCTTGACCTGCTAGCAAGTCCCAAGAACCTTCAAGTAAGCGTCCGTACAAGCTACAGGCTACCTGAGACTGAAAGCTAGACGCGCACCGGTGGCTTTCTCGCTAAGTATGTTGTACAAGGAAGCAAAAACGGTTGTAAATAGCAGTGTTTTGGGCATGGTCACCTTACGACTTGTGATCGATGTCCTACTTTAGAATCCCTTAAAGGGGTTACGCCCCAAATTCCCCATGGAGAGCTAGTAAAGAGAGAGACCCAGGCCTGAGCCGGTATAGCTGGCCGAGTGCCACCCTGGCGAGGTCTCCGGCTTCTGGGGGAACACTGAAAAAAAATGAGCGGGTTTCAGAAAGTTGTGGTTATACCTTATCATGATTTGGGGTCCTTACTTTAAGGGGATTTGGGGATCTATGGGGGTCCCCCCATTTTCGTAAACCCCCAAACGAACCCTGGGTGTAAATTTTGCCGCCATTGGGCTCTGCAAGCTTTTAGAGCGAGGCGCGCAAAACAAAGACAGCTCTGCATGTGCCCGGCCTCATCATCGAAATGTTTCCGGGCTGTGGTGGTGGCGGGGCTACGTGCCTACGCAGAACAGACAGCTGCTCTAACGCGAAGAGATGACACTTGCAAAATGCCGACATCAAGCTCACGAAGCGGCAGCGGCATTTTTCTTCTTTGGTCGCGAATCCGGAATGCAGCCATGAAACCCGACAAGATCCTGCAAGCCGGCGCAGTCGGATCCACCACCCATGTCGCCGTCTCGATGGAGCTTGAGCTTCAATGCCAGGGAGCACGTCCAGGCGGTGCAGCTGTGTGGTTGGCCTCGTGCCTCATCTCAGGCCCCGCGCGCAGCGCCAGGTCACAAGACGGACGCATGGAGATCAGAAGTTCCTGGGCTGGTATAGGGATTCGGAGCGTTTCTATGGCAAAGATCTTAGGCTTTTTAGGATTTTTAGGTTTAAGACCGGTCAAGAACCTCAAGTGGCTCAGAATGGCTCGAGAGCAGGTTCACACACACAAAGCATTACACGTGCCGTCTTCCGAGAGTCCATTGAAAAGTCTGCCCTTGGCGCTGACTACTCAAGGCCTGTTCCAATCGGGGCGATGGCAAATACGAGTTCAGCTCATCACACCTTCGGCAAGGTCCAACGCGACCCAGCAGTCAAGCTAGAAGCTCGAGCATGACTAAATGGTCGGCATCCGAACAATATGCTGTAAGTCACAACAGATCAACGAACTTCATGTCTGATACCGTTTGCTTCGTGCCTGATCAGCAGCGTCTTCACGAGGGGATGCTGTATTTGAAGCTCTTCCTCGGTTGGTGCCACATTCTCCTCACAACAGCAGACTGTCAGTCAGACTGAGTCAGCTTTAACTCACAAGTTTAAACGCAAACCCTCAGGCCCTCAACACTAAACCGCGCAGCTCCTCGCCCACAAACGTTATTTGTGCTCCTGGTCGATCCTCGGCCGTTGAACGCAGTTATCCCCATGACAATGCAATGACGCAGCTTGATGTAATCTTCCTGCTTCTGCCTTGAATCAAGTCCTGCTCGGCTGCTTGCTTCCCAGACTCCCGCTCGTCAACCAAGCCTGCAGCGAACTTTTTTGCGCTTAGGTGCCTTGCATTTACTCCATCCCCAATCCCGTAAACCCATCTAAGCCCTGTGTCAAGGAGCAGTGATAGAAGGGCTGCAGCTCGCCCCTAGGCAGGCTTGAAACACCTGGAGCAGCCAGATGCGTCAGACATGTCAGATGTCAGAGTGACTTATAGGATTAACGCAGCCGTGAAGAGTTGCGAGTAGATGTGACAGCAAGGCCTCTGTAAACTTTGCTGCACTGTGCTAGGGATGGTGACTTGTAACTGCCGGAACTAGGAAGGCAATGCATGCTGCACCGTCCCAAACCCTAACCCTAAACCCTAAACCAAGACCCTAAACCCTAAACCCTAAACCCTGAACCCTAACCTTACTAGTACACCCCGTGCTGAGGCAAGCACCCATCATGCGTTTCCACGCCTTCCCGGCATTGCACCACGGCTCACAGCAGACGACCACAGCACGATACCCGTAGCGGCGGTGCAGGAAGCCTTGGTAGCATGTTAGAGCTTAGGGTTTAGGGTTTCGGTTTCAGGGTTCCTGCATGCAGGATTTATATAAACCTTCAGAGCCTTCAATCTCTCCAGAAGGTAGTGACGGGTCGATGCATTCATTGCTAGTCCGGGCTCTGCTTCTGAGGTTCACCGGGCCAAGAGTGCTAAGTCTTGTAAAGCTGAGCTGCAGGTGCCCGGAACCTTGCCACCAAGGACAGGGGTCACACAAATGCAAGGAATTGCCACTGCTTCGCCTGCAGCAACTTGCGGGCCAGGGAGCGATGAAACGTCCAGCAGAAAGCCGCGCTTGCTGCTCGAGGCTGTACTCGCTGCCATCGTGCCCAGACACCTCAGGACTGCGAAAGTGCACAGGTCAACTCAAGGTCAGCTCAGCAATGGGCTACATGCAACGTGAATCCGCGTGACGAATTGCTGACACATGCTTCCATATACTCACATCAGCGAAGAAGCGTTGCCCGAGTTCCAAAGCTCCAGGAGCTGTTCTGCTCGCGAGGAGTCCTCCACCACAAGACTGGCCCACAGCTGGCGTCGAAGTTGCAGGCGCTCCGCCTTGTATTCCAGGAAGATTCCACGCCAGTTCTCCTGCTCAGGGCTCAGTGGTTCCGGTCGGGACCACGTCCGCTGCACGCCGTTCGGAAACTCCCAGGCAGGGGCATCAGCGCTGCCAATGAAGCGGGTGCCACGGAGGAAGAGACTTGAGCCTTTCTGACTCACCTCCCAAGGCCCAGTGCCATCTCCGAAGTTCACATCCGTGCCCTTCACGGAGATGCTCAGCCCCACATCATCTTCCCACGACCCCTGTAAGGCTGCCAGCAAGCTTGACACGCTGTCGCTTTCTCCGCTTGCTCCCTCACCTTCGGCTTCGGCAAAGACCGCTGCACCTTGCCGGCGAGTGAGGCTTCGGAGGCCGACTGTGGCAACGCCGGCCAAGGCCGCGCGATGAGACGCCCACGGGAAGAGCGAGCCATGATTGCCGTGAAGATGCGCAGCACCAGCACCAGCCACCCGTGCACGTGCTGGAGCTCGCGAAAGTATCGAAAGTCCAGGCGCTGGACGCACCGTCCAGGGGGCTGCAAGCCGGTCCATGGCGGCTCAGTGACAGCACACTGCTTGCATTCCATCAACAGTTTAAGCTGCACATGTGAACGTTTCTCGTAAGCTCATGTGCAGCTGCCTGCAACACAAAAACTTCAACGGTAGCCTTTACTTGAGCGGAAACGACTCCATTTGAACAACATATCTTGCAGTCTTCAGACACTTCGGCACTCCGTTGCTCAGTTTTCAGCAGGGGTGCAGCACGGTGCAGCAACGTGGCCTCTCCACCTCCCAAGGCCGTCTTTGCAAAGCTCGACCAGGCACTTTCCTGGCAGGAGTGGTGGCCCTGACATTTAGAATTTAGAGATGCAATGCGCAACCTGGCGTCAGTCCCTCCTCGGCCCCACATGCCTGTACCCAAAACAGGATGAAACTCCCCCAATGAAGGGATGCAGAACCCTCAAAAAAACGGGCCTCGCTTTGAACCCAGTCGGCAGCATCCTGCCGAATGGTACGCTGCGTCATAGCGGGATCCTCGCAGTCAACGGCCATGCGGTGAAATACGGGGCCCCTTTGGATCCAGATTACGATCTAGAGAACTGCCCCCGTGGTATCACCTTCACTTCCGACTTCCGACACATGCAGTTCTCCTGCATCGATTGTCTCTCACTGTCCCTCCCCCCTCCACAATGCAGCAAAGGCTACTGCCCATGTGTTCACCTAAACCCTAAACCCTCAACCCTCAACCCTAAACATGCAGCCGCCTCCTCCAACTCTGCCTCCGGCTTGGCCGTTGGCACGGCTGGCCTCAGCACAAGTCACACTCAGGATGAAGAACCTCGCTGCTTTCGGTTTAAGCAAACTAAAAACCATCATCATTGTCTGGCTAGCAGCACGCAGGCAATACAGCCTCTTTTCATGACCAACTAGAAGCACTGACGACATATTCGGAAGGAACTTAGCGAAGCAATTGTTCTTGTGGATGCGATTGCAGGAACACCAACTGTAAATGTGAGGATTTGGGGTTTGGCTTTAGACTTCCTTGAACACACGTGGAATCTCTTGGCGGCCGGTCAGCCTTGGCACAGCCAAGAGTGTGGAGATGCTCCCTTGGGTCCCAGCAAAGAGGGGCTATCTGTCATCCCCGCGGTAAAGCGCTCCAGATCTGTATCCTCCAGGGCCCCAAACAAGACCCGAGCCACTCAGCAACGGCAAAGCGTTCAACGTCTTAACAGCTAGTACAAAGTACTCATGCAGAGTTCCAGGTTTAAGGGCATACAAGCCTGTTGAATCCGAAAACATTAGTTGCAACCGTAGTCGTGTTCTCCCTTCGCTTGCACAAGGCACTGAAACCTACAGCACCCACGCGTATCCCCGGGAACAGACCATTTCGCTCAGCTGGCTTCCCAGCACTGTTGGGGAATCCGTACACCACAAAAGTCCCAACACCAAACCCAAAATGCGTCTTCTCTTCACCCCCCGGCTGCTTCCGCTGTCCTTTGCGGGCTTCCGCGCGGAAGCTGAGGTTGCAGAGCTAACTTTGGTGTGCCTGACCGAAGTCAGCAACTCTCTCTCTCTCTCGCACACACAGTGACACGCAAACACAAACTACATACTGAGAAATTTAAATCCACAACAGGATTCGGTTCAAGAACCCGTTCGGTGACTCTCAGCTACAGCCTTGACATGTTTCGGGGTGCTGGACATACTGTGCGCTACACTCAGCTGTTCTTAACCGCCCCTTTACATCCCTTTACCTTGTGAGGGCCCCTTTGTTATCTATGGCCGCGTTAACCCTGCAGGGGAACTGCGGTTCTAGAAGGAGTCCCGTTTTGGCTTTGGGAGATAAGGAACCCCCTGATGAAGGGTCTCGAAAAGGGCCACCCCCTCCCCCCCTAGCCCTAAACCCTAAACCCTAAACCCCAAACCCTAAACCCTAAACCCCCAAAGCCTACACCCTAAGCCCAGCTTTTCCCAGTTCGAGTGTCAAACCTTCACCAAGAAGGCCTCTGCGACTTGAGGAGCACTGCATCTGCATTCTTGCCCAGTGTCACAGTCAGAGGATGGTCCTGTTCAGAACATAGGGTTTTAGGGTTTAGGGTTTCGGGTTTAGGGTTTCGGGTTCAGGGTTTGGGGTTTCGATTTCAAATTTTAAGGTTTCGGGTTCAGGGTTGATAAGTATTGGCTCAGTGGGTTGCAGGGCTATGGGGATCCGTGTTTGAGGCTCAAAGGATTTGGGGGCTTCGGGCTTAGGGGTTCAGGGGGTTGAGGGCGGAAGTTTTAGCCAGGGCTGGGGGTCTAGGGCTTGGGGTTTAAGAGCTGAACCTCACAGGGCTCAGGTTCAAGCGTGGGCACGCTTGGACAAAGATACACCTTCATTTAGGAATGGGCCTTACATTGATTCCTGCAAAACCCCTGAAGGCCCTAAAGGCCCTCTTAACCCCGGGATCGTAACCCTAAACCCTAAACCCTAAACCCTAAACCCTTTAGAGTCTCTGGGTTCACAAGCGACTTCCGGGCCTCGCCCAGGCACCGCTTAGCCACCTGCGGCCAGAAGTGGACGTGCTGTGCCTAAATACCCTGCCTCGTCCCCGCACGAAGTTCTTAAGCTTCCTAAATCCTGCTGCTTGCTTAAAGAGCTGCAAAGAAAGCCTTGGTAGCCTTGCGGCATGGGCAGCTGCGCGCCTGGAAGCCCTGATAGAAGGCTGACGCGGCCTTCGGAGCGGAAGGAGTGACAAAAGGGAATCAACACAGAAGGCAGAACATCAAGTGCACAACACCATGGGGTGCCTTGTCGTACTGTTGAAGCAGATCTCGCTCCACGGCCACGTTGTGGTACCTACAGCGTCTGCTGTATCTGCGGCATCTAGGGCACCGCCCAAAAAGCACAAAAAACCCACTGAAGCCCGCGAGGGCTCACGCGATGGCGAGAACGGAATAATCGTCCTTGGACAGGGCTGCAACACAAGAGGTGTTGAGCGTGCAATCCGGGGGTGTTGTGGGAATGCTGCCGAGGCAGGTATCCACCTAGAACCCTGTGGCATGACTCTGAGACCCCTGCTGCCGACACGTCCGCGGGATCTACAGCGCTCGTCTTCCTGGCAGTGTACGAAGAGGCACCCCGACAATCTAATAACCAGATGCTGGCATATAGCAGCAGTAGATATCCTTTGCATCATGAAGCCCTCACATCCCCCACAAACCTTCCCAGCCGGGCAGACCGGTCGATGAGCTCTAGGGCTTGCAGCGCGTGCTGGACCGCCTTCTTGCCAACAGCACAGCCCGCGCGGAAGAGCCCATCACAGGAAGCACATTGGCTGTTGGGGGGCCTTGTCGTGCTTCTCTAGTTTGGAGAGGATGGCGCAGACGTTCAGGTGAGTACCTGTGCCCAAGCAGCTTTTTCATGGACCCCGAGGTGCTTGAGTTGCTATTTGTTATTTTTTTTTTTGGGGGGGGGGGGGGGGCAAGGCATGTGAGCGCAAAACATGGGAGAAAGTACAGAAGGCGGCCTGCCAGCGTGACTTCATCAGTGCCCAAGTCCACCTACCAAGGAGGAGTCGGGCATGATTCGCATGATCAGGGCGTTTCGACCGACACACACACACACACACACACACTCACGGTTGGCCCTGCTTAGGGATTTTAGGGTTTAGGGAGCCTACACCTCAGTTGCACAAACCCTTGCTTCACAGCGGCCTCCATCTGCAAGGCTCTTCGGAGATAGCTCAACGCTCCGTGCAGCTTCCCAACCTGCAGGAGAGGGGCAAAGATGCGCGGGGGGCTGCACTGCCCAAAGCACCAGGAGAGGCCTTCTTGTAGTAGCAGCCCAGGTTGTTGCAGGTAACCTGTGCGTTTTCCCGCCCCTGACTAAAAAAACCCGAACCCTAAGCCCTGTAGGCCCGAAAAAGGGCCTTATGCCATGATACAGTATGTCAGTATGTGTTCCGGAAAGCATGAGGCGCTTGCTGCTGCGAGGCTCGTGCCACCTGGGCCACAGGGGGCGAGGATTGGGGGCTTAGTTCGGGGCTTAGGGCTTCGAATCTAACAATGAGGTCTTGGGGTAGTTGCATGGTCCCCTAGTATGGGCCCTTACATGACCCCTTGAATACCCCATATCTACCCTCTAAACGCAAGGGTCCATGCTTCAAAGGCAAGGGACCCTATTTAGGGCCTATGTAACTACCGTTAAACTACCCTTAGATGAGGGCATGCCTACCAGGAGTTAGGAACTCTGGTGGGCTATTTCGATGCGATGTCGTCAGGGGGTCGCTTGATGCCTGTCTCGCCACCGGATTTGACCCTGGCGCAAGGTCAGAGCTCAAAGCGAATGCTGAGGCCAGATCTTTCAGCCTGGTTGGCTATGAGAATGGCTTCCGCATACTTGAACTGCTCAAAGGCCTGAAGACAAAATCATTGTCACCACTTGTTTGTCAGAGCTAGTCCAACACTTGGCCAGTGCTGAGGATTGCGCAGCTTTGGATTGTCCTTTTCTCAACGCTTCCATGCCATCGCGATTGCAGGACATGACCTGTTTGACACGCAGCCCGATCAAACAAAGATCTACACACCCCTACTACACAAGGAAGCCACTGCTGCCAGCAGCGTGTGCTTTTACTCCCGAAGTGGTGCCATTAGACGCAGAAGCCGCGAATCTCGGGCGGCAGCAAGCGTGTGGAAGTCCTTTCATGTTTCCCACTCATGTGCAGGAAGTAGCTAGGCGACAGCTTGATTCAGAGCTTGGATTTGTACCAAGTGAGATAGAGTCCCCGCGCAGGTCTGCATGTGGTGGAGACAGTTTATGTCTAGAGTCTAGGTGGATATATTCTCTGCGCACTGTTTCATTACCTCAGCATGCCGGGACTGCTCTTGTTAAGCACAGGGCTTTTCGAAAAACCCTAAATCCTAAACTCTAAACCCTAAACCCTAAACCCTCCCTGTCCGGCTTGCCCGCAGCCCGCGGAGGGGCCGAGATGTCTGGAATTGCAACTGCCATGGCCTCCCAGACAACCTGCAGAGGCTAAGCTTCAAGGATACCTTTAGGGTTTAGGGTTTAGGGTTTAGGGTTTAGGTTTATGGTTTAGGGTTGAGGGTTTAGGGTTTGGGGTTTAGGGCGGGATACCTATATACACACCTAGCCCTAAACCCTGACCCCTAACCACCAAAAGTGCAATATAACCGACCTCTGAGGTCACTTTTATTAGGGGTGCCATCATGAAAGCTCGGAACACGCTTTCGAAGCGATGCCGTGTGAGAGCTATCACCGACTGCAGTCTTCCTTAGAGGCTTTCTAAGTTAGGAATCTAGCATTTTGGGGTCCAACTTCTGGGGAAATACCCCTACAAAATGCACGCAGTATATGGTCTTCGCGAGCGTCGGTCGCGGTACCATCCTGAAGATTTGGAATGTGCTTCAGCCTGTGCATTCCTATAAGGCTAAAGCGGACTTCGATTCAACTGTTGCAGCGGTGTTTTGATATTCTAAGTGTCGCGGTACTGGCTGGCTTTCGAACACCAGAGCAGACAGACATAGATGCCACATCTGCATCTTCTGAATACATCTGCTGTAAGCGCCCTCTGAGGGCAGTCAGAAAACACAGACAGGATGCTTATGCCTCGCGTGACCGTCCGAGTCCGTGGCGTTTTGTCAGCTGGAGAGGCCCGGCCTGCAATCCACGGGGCGATTTTGTCGGGCAACTGCGTACTCATGTCACTTAGCATTAATTACTTCACATCTGAAGTCCCTTGACTGCAGCAGTGCAGACAGGTTACTCGGAGGTGTGTCCCACACCCCAAGGGTGTGTCTCAGCAGCCTCACTGCATTACTCGCCCACTTCCACGCAAGCTTAAACCTCAAGGCCGCGGAAGATAATCAGATACTCTCAGTCACGCTGTCTCGGGCCGCGCATCTGGACTCAGAGCAAGTCTAGCAGGGTCAGCAGGAAGCGGTCAATGTTTGTTTTCTGCTGGCCAGTTGTTTGCACTGAAGCCACGGAAGCTGGGAATGAAGACGTGCCATACTCCATATATCACATACCCCATGCTAATCTTCGCGGATGCAGGAACACTGGAAACGAGTTGCCGGAAGCCAGGCACGCTGCTTTCTTAAAACCACGGTGGCTTGAGCTTAGCTGTCAAGCGACCGCAGCCAAAGAGGCTTTGTACAAGCGCTCTCGGCCCGTGCTCCCGCAAGCTTTGCCTGGAACGTGCACACGAGCCTGCTGCGCTAGTGAGCTCATCCAGAAGCCGAAAGGCGTGCCAGCGCTTTCTCCAAACAAGGCACAGCTCCAGGCCCCGTAAACCCTAAACCCTAAACCCTAAACATTCCAGACCCTAAGCCCTGAACCCTAAACACTCTCGCAGCGTCCTTCGGCAAAGGCTAGGAGCTCCTAAGGCAACCATCATCTGCATCCCTGAGCATCTGTGCACATCTGTACTGGACTCGTTGATGCTTGAGCTTACTATGCAACTGTTGCATACTGCAGCGCACGGTGGAGACCGGTCAGAGTCTGAGAAGCTAGCTCAGCGATGAGGTGCGATCAGCTACAGGCTATGCATGGCTATGGTTTCTTGCGGCGCTGGATTGCAGACATTTGTGCCTTGAAGTGGTCCTCCCCTAGACCGCGGGAGGACTCATCACACCCCGGCTTTGACTGCGACCCAATGCGAGAGACTCGCTCACAATGCCTGAGTCTCTGCTGTGGTTAAACTGGGACATAGTCAGGCGCGTCGGCTGTTTCAGTAGCGATTTTGATCTCTCAGTGGCCCATTCGAGGTCATCCACGTTGTCCACCTCTGCCTCTGCATCTGCATCTGCTTGCTTCTGGTTCTCCTCCTTCTGCCTCCGAGTTTCCTCCTCGATCTCGCGTTCCTCGTAGGGTTTTGGGTTTATAGGGCTTAGGGTTCAGCATCTAGCTTAAGCATTCACTGGGCCAGCAAGAGTGTCCGTAACGGAAAAGCACCCATCCCAGGCCTTGAACCCCAAAATCCCTATGCCTGAGCTAAACCCTAGAACCGTACTTGGAGGATCAGGGTACTTGTATCCCAATTATCAATGCAATTAACCCACTTAGAAGCCCCTTGAGCGCCCCAATATGGTTGTAGTTGGGTTATAAGTCCACTTATAACTGGGTTAACAAGTACCATGAACCTCCAAGTAGGGCCTGACCCTGACACCCTGGAATGGAATCTGGAAGCTCAACACCCTCCGGGCCCTGAACTGTAAACCCCAGGGCTTGAACCCAAAACTTTTGGCCCTGAATCTTCACGCTTGCGTGCTTGCGTGGATGGTTCGGAATTCAAGAAGGGTTGGAGCCGATGGTTCGGAATTTAAGTAGGGTCGTCACCCGAGTGTGCGGAATTTAATATTGGAGCCGAGGGTTCGGAAGTTAATTAGGGTTGGTGCCGATTGTTCGGAATTTAATTCGGGCTGGTGCCGATTTTTCGTAGGGTTTAGGGTGTGTCATGCTACGTCGCGTGCTCGGGTGTGAAACACCGGGCTCGTGTGCTCGCGTTGCCTGTGAACCCACCGCGACAATCCAAACTATTCCCAGTTAGGGTTTAGGGTTCACCCCCCCACCCCGCCTCAAAGGGGCCCTTCTAGTTTTTCATTTCACCCCACAGAGCATCTCATCCCACAGGTCCCGCCCGGGTTGCGTCTATATGTTGAGGCTATTGTTGTCCGGCGGTCGTTTCGGTCCTTTCGGGCAAATGGCAAGAGTGGTCGGTGAGGTCTGCAAAGGCGCTTCTCGAGGCTCGGGGGTAGCCTCGACCGACTGCGGCCCTTCACAGGGGCGAAGGCTTCTCTATTGAGCCTGTTCGGGCCGAGATTCGTGGCCCTTGAAGCCTGCGATTGAAGGCTTCTGTTGAGGTTCGGAAAACCCCCGGGTCGGGTGTAGTCCCGGCCCTGTTCGTCCTACAAAGGGCCGAGTCCAGCCCGTTTGGGAATTCTGGGAAGCTCTGAACCTCCAAGTATTGGGAACCCTTGGCTTGAGTTCGAATACCCACGACCCCCTCGGAAATCCCAAATCCTAAGCCCCAAATCCTAAATCCTACATACTAAGTACCAACATCTGGGGGCTCCCCCCGGACTGTTCAGGGGGCTGCCTCGGCTTCCACCCTTTGCTTCTCGAGCTCGCGCTCGAACTCCTCCTGGAACCTCTGAGCTTCCCGTTGCTCGAGCGCCCGGCGGATAAGCAGGACCACGATGATCAGAACCGCAACCAGCACCGCCGCACCGGCGATGACGACCCCGAAGATCTCCTCCTGAAGGTCACTGGGTCTGGAAAGACAGAGGAGGTCGCGGCCCTCAGTTGCATACTCGTCGTCCTGATGATAGTAGCAGACCACGGGATCTCGCCAGGCCCAAATCCGAAACTTGTCGCACTTCTCCCGCTCCAGGAAGCCCGTGAGAGCGATGTCCTCGTGTTCACAGGGCACTCGAATGTCGCAAGCTTGCAGCACGAAGCCCTCCGTCCGATCGGGGGATGCAGCATAGAAGCGCCGGATCAGGTACTTCCCGCTGACTTCTGTCACGACGCCCTTGCTTGTCACAAAGGCTTCTGGCAGGGCCTGTATCTGGCAGTTCCCTTCCACATACTCCATGTTGCGCAGAATACTCGAGACCAGCAGCACAGATGCCAGTACGAAGCCTGATATTGGAATCAGCAGGAGGGAGCCCGTCAGAACAGCAACTACCGTCTTCCATCTGGGCAAGATATCCAAGAAGGGATCCCAATATGCAAAAATGAAGGTTCGCCGCGCGCGGAGGTACTTTCGCTCAAGCGACCATCGCCTGATACCTTCTGAGTCGCACTTGATCTGATCCTCCTTCTCCATCTCCTCCAGAACTTTTTCAAGACCCGCCCACATCTCAATGCGAGACTCCTTCCAGACCTCAAAGGTGGAAGCCTTGGCGCGGAACGAATCAACTTCCTTTAAGTAGGGGGCGTGCCGTTTGCAAAGAGCGCAGTAACGAAACGACTTTAACGGACTTTTACAGGGCTGGAAGGGTTTGCAGGGTATTGCGGTTCAACCTTGCTATTCCTGCCCACATCCTGCATATCCACCAAGGCGCCCAGTTCCACGGAAGCCATGCAGTCCAGTCCAAAGCAGCGAGCCCGGTGGGCTCGGGAATCTCGGAGAAGCTACTCTCCCCGCGCTGCAGCGACTTGGTAAGAGACTTCCCTACCCCCGACTTCAGGGACTGGAGCTTCAAGCTGCTCTGTCGATGATCCAAAGTGCCACCCATCTGCTGGGCATCCATCTCCCCAGCATCATGAGTCATCTCGCGCCGCAACTCGCGGAACCGCTCCCTCGCAGAGGCCTTCTTCTGAACCTCCTCCTGACGAGGCAGGCGAGGATGCGTCACCTTGATGGTGCTCTTTGGCTGATGGCTCGGGCCTTCGGAGAAGCGCGTCGACAAGGTGCCGCTCTTGCGCAGCCGGCTGCCTCTCGCTGCCATGCTGCCACTTCGGGAGAAACCTCGCGAGAAGCCTCGGGACATGGAGCGGGTGGATGCCTTTCTGGACATGGAGCGGGAGGGTGATCTTGGTACTTCCGAGTCTTCCGAGGTTCCGCCAGTCCCGCAGCAGCAGCGAAATCCGGCCAGTAGCAGGAAAAAGGGACAGAAAAGGCAACGTACTCCAAAAGCAAGGGGCTTGCATCTGGCCTCAAAGGCAACCCAAAGCCTGGACACGAGCCTCATGAGGCTGGCGCATGGTGCACAGCAGCGTGCGGCCCTCCGTAAGCAAGGTCCACAACGCTCCCCCCAGCGAGTGCGCAGTCTTGAAACACAGCCACACCAAGATGGCTTTCGGCGGGGACTCGGCTCAAGGTCGCTCGGTTCCCTGGCAGTTCGTTTGGGTGAGAAACTGTCAACGCCCTCCTCCCAATCCATGTCGCGCCCCGGGGACCTTGGGGACTCTGGGGACCGCCCGGCAGCGTCATCACTTGGCATGCCAGAAACGGCCCATGACTGAGTAAGAAACGCCGAAGAAGCCGCCCTCTTGGCAGCTCGCTCCTTCATGATGGCTGTTCGGGTCTGCACTCGCACCTCCGGCTCTGACTCCAGGTCATCATCTGGATAGTCGGCCGGGTCTCCATCCTCTGCTCTGGCTTCAGTTTGAACTTCCGGATCGGCCGGCTCTTCATCCTCGCTTTCAGGGGCTTCCGGCACGTCTTCGCCCGAATCCGGGCCGTCCCTGCTGCCACCGTCCTCGCCGTCGCTGTCGGAGCTGTTCCCACTGTCACTGCTGCCGCTAGAGCTGCTTGTGGACGCTGCTTCCTCAGGACCCATGCCGCCTCATACTGCAGCTGTCTACTATACTACTCCAAACTGGGGCCGAAGGACAAACTCAGTACTGCTGTGGCAACTTGCAGCCAGCTAGCGAGGCTGTTGGGCGCATGTTTGCTGCATGCCTTGCGGTGTCTATTACAGGCAGACAACACTTGGATTTGTTGCATCCATGTAGGTCTCGAGCCATTGGCTTCGCCGAGCGCTTCGCTTGCGAGATCTTGCGAGTTTTGTTTTATCACAGACAAATCCCAGGAAGGTTTCTGAAGAGTTTAGGGGCCACGGCAAACTCTGACAGATAGTGCCGCGCCGATGTCACCCATGTCATGACCCCGCGCTGCTCCAAAAACGTTCTCCCCATGCTGCAGGCAACCCTTTTACGATTCAGGACCCCACAAGAAACAAAAATCTGCAACGACCTCCTGCAAGAAGTGCAGTCTTTTGGATATCATGCAGCAAGCCGCGGCATCTTGATGGAGCTGGAAACCAAAAATGCACATCACATCTGGTGAGGCAAGATTGGGGTTAAAGAAGTTGCCCACCTGTACTCAGAGCCAGTTGCTTGCGGGCACATTCTATCCCAGAACCCCAAATAGTACCCTATACTACTAGTGGGTCATTCTTAGGAACCCTTAAGGGGATCTATTTTGTGGATTCCTCCCAGGGGGTCTGGGCTATTGTGCTCCAGCATACTTGTCCAGAGCTTTGATGTGATTGCCAACTGCTCCCATCAGGCTGCCAATTTGCTCTCCTCGCATGCTCAAGAAAAAGAAATGCAGCTCTTGCCGTGCCCTCTCATCCTAAAACCCTAAGACTGAACTCAGACAAGTTGCCACGAAGTCGGCTAAGTCCTGCGTTGGACTGCCAACAGCGAACAGCCATCCATGCTAGCAACCCTGGACCCTGCACCCCCTCATCCCCCCCCTCCCCCCCAACCCGAAACTTCTCAAGTGAAGCGCTGATCCCTTTCCTTTTGGTGCTGGCTACCGAACAGTGGCCCATGATTTGATCAACCCCCTTTGACGGAGATCCGGACAACACCTAAACCCCCCAAGTTTCCCCCCAAACCCTAAACCCTAAACCCTAAACCCCAAACCCTAAACCCTAAACCCTAAACCCCAAACTCTCCATCCACAAACGTCTCCTAGGATGGCCCTTAAAACCCTCTGACAAATATTCCAGGACCCTCTTCCACCCAAGAAGGGAAAATATGAAGAAAAATCTCCCAAAGGGGCCTACCTAGTCTCTCAGTCGAGCTAAGGGGACCCCGAAGTCGTAGGATTCCCTTGCAGTAAGGATCCTAATAAGGTACCCCTCAAATTTCGGGAACCCCCAGAAAGCCAAGCCAGGCCCTAAACCCGACGTAAACCCTAAACCCTAAACCCTAAACCCTAAACCCCAAACCCCAAACCCTAAACCCTAAACCCTAAGCCAGGCTCCTTGACGGTCTGTAGCTCCACCGGCATGGGGAAGTTGATCCAGGTGCCAGCCAAGATCGTGAGGAGCTCGATGCCAAACTCCTCCGCCACTTGCGGAGGCAGTTTTTGAAGGGGTTTTAGGGTTTAGGGTTAGGGGGTTTTCGGGTTTAGGGTTTAGGGTTTAGGGCTACAATCCCCAAAGCCATGAAGCAGAACCCTTTGAGGATCGAGGGCTTCGGTTGGACCCGGGGCGGGGACATGGAGAACCTGAACGCGGTTGTCGGAAGAGAAGCGGTAGCCCTGAGGTCGGTGGAGGAGGATGGATGAATTTCCGTTGGGGCACGTACTCAATCACACTCATCCACTGATTTCTTCCAGCAGGTACTGGAGGCAGGCAGCTTGAGATACAGAGACTCTTGAGAGACCTACTTGGAAGTGTTTGGTACTTCTAACCCAATGATAGCTGTACTTCTAAGCACTTTCAAGCCCCTCAAGTGCCTATGGACCTCCAAGTACATGGATTATTGCCCGAGCCTTCTCTAGGGCCATGGCTATGTTGGCGACCTGCTGCTCACCTGAACTGGCGAAGAGGCCCAAATCTACGGCCAGCAATTGGGAGTTGTTCTAAAAATGAGGGTCCCTTTTTGGGTGGCCTGCTTATCTGGAACTCCCCTAGAGATTGGGGACTTAGAACTAGAAGAGAGGCCCCTTTTTCTCGAACGCCAGGTTCAGCTTCTACACCACATCTCCAGGAAGGGGCTCGAAAGCCAAGCGCCAAGGGCCAAGGGACAACTGCTGCCATGGGCGACTTGGCCTCCCTAAACCCTTAACCTCTCTTTCATATATAATTTAAATGTTAAGGAGTTACTGGGCAAGGTCTTTTTTTTACTGGGCAAGGTCATTTTTTTACTGGGCAAGGTCATTTTTTCCCTTGCCCAGTAAAAAAATGACCTTGCCCAATAAAACAAGTTACCTTGCCCAGTAATGGCCTTGCCCAGTAAAAAAATGACCTTGCCCAGTAAAAAAAAAGACCTTGCCCAGTAAAAAGATGACCTTGCCCAGTAAAAAGATGACCTTGCCCAGTAACATTTTTACTGGGCAAGGTCATTTTTTTACTGGGCAAGGTCATTTTTTTACTGGGCAAGGTCATTTTTTTACTGGGCAAGGTCATTTTTCACTGGGCAAGGTCGTTTCGTCCAAAAAAACGACCTTGCCCAGTAAAAAATTACCTTGCCCAGTAAAAAAATGACCTTGCCCAGTAAAAATGTTACTGGGCAAGGTCATTTTTTTACTGGGCAAGGTCATCTTTTTACTGGACAAGGTCTTTTTTTTACTGGGCAAGGTCTTTTTTTTACTGGGCAAGGTCATTTTTTTACTGGGCAAGGTCATTGCTGGGAAAGGTCATTTTTTTACTGGGCAAGGTCATTTTTTACTGGGCAAGGTCATTTTTTTATTGGGCAAGGTCATTTTTTATTGGGCAAGGTCATTTTTTTACTGGGCAAGGTCGTTCCATAAGTGAAATATTTTCTTAATGTTGTGGGATTCTTCGGGCGGGTGGGTAGTTTTCTGGAGTAATATTTTTTCTTGACTAGTGAATGCTTGGACTTGAGATGCTGAACCTAAAACCTAAACCCTAAACCCTAAACCCTAAACCCTAAACCCTAAACCCTAAACCCTAAACCCTAAACCCTCCCACAACTTGTTCTTGAAGCTGCTGCCATGGCACCGATGCTGTGAGTGTGCCCCTCCAGGATGAAACCGACCATGGGAAGCGGCATCGAGGGCTCGGCACTGGTGCCGGACATCTCTGTCAGCACCCGCTGAACCTTTCGTTTAGGGTTTAAGGTTTAGGGTTTAGGGTTTAGGGTTTAGGGCCACCAAGCACTTGCCCTGCCCCATGCAGCTTCGCCACACAGTGCACATTTACCTCATCAAGTGCGGCGCTTCAAACTTCAAAGCAAGCCGAGGCACTCGGGACAGCGTTTCTGGAGACGCTTGGTGAGTGATCCTCGCTGCACTGTGCAACTGGAATCCGAGCCACAACTCAAAACCCTTAGCCGCATGTCGGGTTCTCGGGTGCTCGCCCCTTAAATTTCGTCGAATACAGTACATGGGGCTCTTTCGAAACCAGAACTGGCCACACGTCCCTTTTTGGGATCCCTGTTTTAAGGGTGCGCCTTGTCATGGGTACCCACAGAGGGACCCGAATTTAGAAAACCACCCACGTGTTCACTCTTCACAAAGAATGCCTGGCCTGTCGAGCCTCGGCGCTTTGCGCAAGCTCGGGCTGCGCATGCTGTTGCAGTAGGCAATGTCCTCGGGTCGGGCGGCGCAGCATACAAGTGGCATGGACGGCAGCACGTCAGATCTTCGCAACTCCCCGTCCGATGATGCAAGTTCTTCTCGAGATCCGCTGAATACCCCGTCCAAATCATGAAGGGCCATGCAAGGAGCAGCGATCTGAGAACGTCTACCGCTCAGCTGCTGAGTTCTCGACCACTCTGCCATTCCGGGTGCTTGCGAAGTCAGCTTGCTGCAGTGGTTGGTGCGCCGTGGACGGCGGCCTCTCAATCAGATTGGGAAACTGTTGCAATCATGGGAGGAAGAGAGCTTCAGGGTCACACGGCCTCTGCGCCGGCGACGAGTAGACGTGGGTAGAGCTTCCAGTGAACAGCGTCCTTGGCTTCTTTGCCTTGAGCATGACACGACAGCGCTCTCCGCCTGCCTTGCTTCCATTCTGCGAAGGAGCTGCGCGGCTTGCAGCTTAACTCAGCATGGCAAGCAGGCTCTGCCACGATCTTCGCTCTGTAAGATGTGGAGCAGATGCTTTGGCTGTACCTATTAAAGCCCAAAACAATGTACAAGCCCGATCCAGAAACCAAGACCTACTTATACTTACTTCCCAGTGTGTCAAAAAGAGTCAAAATCCACCCTGAAGCCCATCAACCTCCATCAAATCGCCGAAACCCTGTGCTGTCCAGGCATCTCGAGCGAGCTGGCATCCCAAGCAGGGGCAGGAGCCCGTCCTGCCAATAGTAACACCCTGCAGCGCTTGAGGAGTGTTGGGCTTAGGGCTTGGGGCTGCAGCGTAGGCGGGGGCTGATGGTGTTTAAGAAGGCAGAAGGTTCATCCTGAGTTGCTCTAGGATCCGACACCTCCATACCGGCCGATGACAACGGAAGCAGCGCACAGAGCATTCCGACGAGTGGAGCTTGGGACAGTGTCCTGTTATCAGCTGCTGCGCCGCCGTCTGGAGCTCCTGTTATGACGGCAAAGAGCTCGACTACAGGCGGAGCTCCAAGGACCGTGCAAGATTGGGGGGGGCTTCCGAAATTAGGGGGGGTTGCCTTATGGGGGTCCTTATTTATCCTCCTATTCTGGGGGTCTGAGTCGATATTTGGGGCTGCTAATTTTCCCAGATGGTTGCATCTCCTGGAACTTGGTAATGTCTCCCGTCTGCGGCACATCAGGATGATAGACCTGAACGGCATAGGACCCCGCGTCGTTACAACATGGACATGCAGTGCAGCTGTCGTCCGAACCCTTATGCATCAAAGGCGAGGTGCCTTTGCAAGGCGCCGGAAAGCACTTCGCACTGCATCCTCATCTGCAGTGCCAGGAGGTAGTCCCAAGACCTCCGTTCTAACAATTTATAGCTCTGAGGTTCGCGCATGGCTCTTATCGTTTTGGTGGTGGCGTTGTTAGGACTAATCTCGTCATTTCATGTCTGACCCATGGGACTGCATCGCCGCCAACTAGGCAAATCCAACCCGACATGATTGCCAGAAGCACTCCAAGCACTCCCCAGGTCTGAATCCCTAGCCCGCCCCCCCCCCCCCCCCCCACTCTAAAGCCCCAACTTAAAACGGCCCCTTCCTACCGTCACAATGATTCAGAATAACCGTACGAAAACACACACACACAGACATATATATATATATATGTATATCTATATATATATGTGCCATGGACCTTTAGGTATAATGTGAGGTCTTGTCCTTCTTTCCCTATTAAAACCATTGAATGCTTTATGCCTGAAGCATGTCAGAGTTGGGTTTATGGCTTAGCAAACTCACTCATCCTTGGAAACAAGTCGGAGGGGGCCTTTCTGTTTTTCAAGAAAAATGAAACAACTATGAAGTAACACAATAGCGAGTCACCCCCCTGATCTTGGCCTCTCGTCGCTTTCTCACAAGTCCAAGTTATGGAAGGAACCGCCGGAAAGATGAAAAGAATAGGAAGGTAGAGATAAGAGAAGGGTGTTCCGCCCCCCTCTCCAAAACCTTCTTCATTCCTCTCCTCTCTTCGTCTCTTCTCTTTGCTTCTTCTTTTCTGACAACAGTGGGAAAGGGAAGGAATGAAAGAGCAGAAGGAAGGCAGGCACAAATGGGCCTCCTTTTGTGCGCCCGTCCTCCTTGCCTTTTTGTCTGCCTCGATGTGGCAAAGCTGAGCAAGGGAGGGGGGGAACGACAAGCTCTCCGTGCCCCTTGTCTTGTCGTGTTTTCCCAGAGTGTTGCGGGAAGACTGCGGGGGCCTTTTTTCCCGCCTCTCCTTTCCTTTCCTTGCCTTTCCTGCGCTCTCATAGAAAAAGGAAGAAGAAGGATAAAAGACAAAGCAGAAACAAAAAGGGGGTCATGCCCCCGCCTATGGGCCTATGTCTACTTTCTCCTCTCTTGCTTTCTGCTCTTCAGTTTCTGGACTCTGACACGTAAGAAATGTCTGCGACAGGGGGTGGCAGGGGGAGCTTTCCTTTCCCAGTCTTTCTTCCCTGTCTCCTTATCAATGAGAAAACGCATGAGGGGGAGGAAGGAGAAGTGGAGAGTGAGAGCGAGGGACAAGGAGATGGAGAGAGGAAGAAAGAGAATGAGAGAATGAGAGTGAAAGAGAAAGGAAAGATAGAGAGAGAGAGAGAGGGTGTAGGTAGATAGATAGATAATAAAGAGGAAAGGCGAGCAACCGCAAGGCGTGGCAACTTTCTGTTGTTTTCCTTTCCACTTCAGTCTGTTCTTCCTCGCCATTTCTTCCTATATATCTCATTCGCGAGAAAAGGAGGAGAGAAGAGGAAGAAGAAAAGAGGACAGCAAGGAAGAGGGCAGATGGAGTGACAAGTTATCTGGTCCCTCTTCATACCTTATCATCTGCGAACATTACTCCTCTGTTCTCTTCTGTCTCCTGTTCTTTTGAAGTAAAGGCTCCCTTGTCTTGTCATGTTTTCCCAGAGTGTTGCGGGAAGACTGCGGGGGCATTTTTTCCCGCCTCTCCTTTCCTTTCCTTTCCTGCGCTCTCATAGAAAAAGGAAGAAGAAGGATAAAAGACAAAGCAGAAACAAAAAAGAGGTCATGCCCCCGCCTATGGGCCTATGTCTACTTTCTCCTCTCTTGCTTTCTGCTCTTCAGTTTCTGGACTCTGATACGTAAGAAATGTCTGCGACAGGGGGTGGCAGGGGGAGCGTTCCTTTCCCAGTCTTTCTTCCCTGTCTCCTTATCAATGAGAAAACGCATGAGGGGGAGGAAGGAGAAGTGGAGAGTGAGAGCGAGGGACAGGGAGAGGGAGAGAAGAAGAAAGAGAGTGAGAGAATGAAAGTGAAAGAGGGAGGAACGATAGGAAGGGAAACATAAGGGAAGGAGAGGGTTCCGCCCCCTTCTCCAAATCCTTCTTCGTTCCTCTCCTCTCTTCGTCTCTTCTCTTAGCTGCTTCTTTTCTGACAACAGTGGGAAAGGAAGGAATGAAAGAGCAGAAGGAAGACAGGCACAAATGGGCCTCCTTTTGTGCGCCCGTCCTCCTTGCCTTTTTGTCTGCCTCGATGTGGCAAAGCTGAGCAAGGGAAGGGGGAACGACAAGCTCTCCGTTTTCTTGTCTTGTCGTGAATTCCCGGAGAGTTGCGGGAAGACTGCGGGGGCCTTTTTGAAGGATAAAACACAAAAAGCAGAAACAAAAAAGAGGTCATGCCCCCGCCTATGGGCCTATGTCTACTTTCTCCTCTCTTGCTTTCTGCTCTTCAGTTTCTGGACTCTGATACGTAAGAAATGTCTGCGACGGGGGGTGGCAGGGGGAGCGTTCCTTTTCCAGTCTTTCTTCCCTGTCTCCTTATCAATGAGAAAACGCATGAGGGGGAGGAAGGAGAAGTGGAGAGTGAGAGCGAGGGACAGGGAGAGGGAGAGAAGAGGAGAGAGAATGAGAGAATGAAAGTGAAAGAGGGAGGAACGATAGGAAGGGAGAGATAAGGGAAGGAGGGGGTTCCGCCCCCTTCTCCAAATCCTTCTTCGTTCCTCTCCTCTCTTCGTCTCTTCTCTTAGCTGCTTCTTTTCTGACAACAGTGGGAAAGGAAGGAATGAAAGAGCAGAAGGAAGACAGGCACAAATGGGCCTCCTTTTGTGCGCCCGTCCTCCTTGCCTTTTTGTCTGCCTCGATGTGGCAAAGCTGAGCAAGGGAAGGGGGGAACGACAAGCTCTCCGTTTTCTTGTCTTCTCGTGAATTCCCGGAGAGTTGCGGGAAGACTGCGGGGGCCTTTTTTCCGCTTCTCCTTTCCTGTTCTTTCCTTCACTCTCATAGAAAAAGGAAGAAGAAGAAGAAGGATAAAAGACAAAGCAGAAACAAAAAAGAGGTCATGCCCCCGCCTACGGGCCTATGTCTACTTTCTCCTCTCTTGCTTTCTGCTCTTCAGTTTCTGGACTCTGATACGTAAGAAATGTCTGCGACGGGGGGTGGCAGGGGGAGCGTTCCTTTCCCAGTCTTTCTTCCCTGTCTCCTTATCAATGAGAAAACGCATGAGGGGGAGGAAGGAGAAGTGGAGAGTGAGAGCGAGGGACAGGGAGAGGGAGAGAAGAAGAGAGAGAATGAGAGAATGAAAGTGAAAGAGGGAGGAACGATAGGAAGGGAGACATAAGGGAAGGAGAGGGTTCCGCCCCCTTTTCCAAATCTTTCTTCGTTCCTCTCCTCTCTTCGTCTCTTCTCTTTGCTGCTTCTTTTCTGACAACAGTGGGAAAGGAAGGAATTAAAGAGCAGAAGGAAGACAGGCACAAATGGGCCTCCTTTTGTGCGCCCGTCCTCCTTGCCTTTTTGTCTGCCGCGATGTGGCAAAGCTGAGCAAGGGAGGGGGGGAACGACAAGCTCTCCGTTTTCTTGTCTTGTCGTGTGTTCCCGGAGAGTTGCGGGAAGACTGCGGGGGCCTTTTTTCCCGCTTCTCCTTTCCTGTTCTTTCCTGCGCTCTCATAGAAAAAGGAAGAAGAAGGATAAAAGACAAAGCAGAAACAAAAAAGAGGTGATGCCCCCGCCTATGGGCCTATGTCTACTTTCTCCTCTCTTGCTTTCTGCTCTTCAATTTCTGGACTCTGATACGTAAGAAATGTCCGCGACAGGGGGTGGCAGGGGGGGGGGCGTTCCTTTCCCAATCTTTCTTCCCTGTCTCCTTATCAATGAGAAAATGCATGAGGGGGAGGAAGGAGAAGTGGAGAGTGAGAGCGAGGGACAAGGAGAGGGAGAGAGGAAGAAAGAGAATGAGAGAATTAGAGTGAAAGAGAAAGGAAAGATAGAGAGAGAGAGAGAGAGGGTGTAGGTAGATAGATAGATAATAAAGAGGAAAGGCGAGCAACCGCAAGGCGTGGCAACTTTCTGTTGTTTTGCTTTCCACTTCAGTCTGTTCTTCCTCACCATTTCTTCCTATATATCTCATTCGCGAGAAAAGGAGGAGAGAAGAGGAAGAAGAAAAGAGGACAGCAAGGAAGAGGGCAGATGGAGTGACAAGTTATCTGGTCCCTCTTCATACCTTATCATCTGCGAACATTACTCCTCTGTTCTCCTCTGTCTCCTGTTCTTTTGAAGTAAAGGTTCCCTTGTCTTGTCGTGTTTTCCCAGAGAGTTGCGGGAAGACTGAGGGGGCCTTTTTGCCCACCTCTCGTTTCATTTTCTTTCCTGCGCTCTCATAGAAAAAGGAAGAAGAAGGATAAAAGATAAAGCAGAAACAAAAAAGAGGTCATGCCCCCGCCTATGGGCCTATGTCTACTTTCTCCTCTCTTTGCTTTCTGCTCTTCAGTTTCTGGACTCTGATACGTAAGAAATGTCTGCGACGGGGGGTGGCTGGGGGAGCGTTCCTTTCCCAGTCTTTCTTCCCCGTCTCCTTATCACTGAGAAAACGCATGAGGGGGAGGAAGGAGAGTGGAAGGAGAGCGAGGGACAGGGAGAGGGAGAGAGGAAGAGAGAGAATGAGAGAATGAAAATGAAAGAGGGAGGAACGATAGGAAGGGAGAGACAAGGGAAGGAGAGGGTTCCGCCCCCTTTTCCAAAACCTTCCTCTCTTCGTCTCTTCTCTTTGCTTCTTCTTTTCTGACAACAGTGGAAAAGGAAGGAATGAAAGAGCAGAAGGAAGGCAGGCACAAATGGGCCTCCTTTTGTGCGCCCGTCCTCCTTGCCTTTTTGTCTGCCTCGATGTGGCAAAGCTGAGCAAGGGAGGGGGGGAACGACAAGCTCTCCGTTCCTTGTCTTGTCGTGTATTCCCGGAAGACTGAGGGGGCCTTTTTTCCCGCTTCTCCTTTCCTTTCCTTTCCTGCGCTCTCATAGAAAAAGGAAGAAGAAGGATAAAAGACAAAGCAGAAACAAAAAAGAGGTCATGCCCCCGCCTATGGGCCTATGTCTACTT